ATAAATAAATTTAATTAACTTTCAAATAATAAATATAAATCTTAAATATAAATCATCTTTTAGATTCATATTAATAAGTGATGAAAATACTTGTTTAACAATATTGTCTATTACATCAGCATCAAATAATTTAGTATAACTATTATAAATTTTACTAGAAATTTTCATGTTAAAACTTCTATTGCATTTTTTCTTCGGGTATTTGATATTAATTTTGATAATCTAAATATTTGAAAAATAGCATTTCTAACTTGAGATATATGTGTTCCTCTTAAATTCTTTATTTTTCACAATAGCTATATAAAAAATAATATAAAATTAATGATAATTAATAATAATTATTGTAATGTAATATTTCAACAGTTTTTACAAAAAAAGTATATAAAAAATATTATTGTGATATGGTATTTTTTAGTAAAAGCATTAGACTATTCTCACTCTTCAAAATCTTTAAGATAGTTTAAGTGATTTTTTTTAGCTAATTTTTCAAACTGTTTTTAAATTTCTCAAGGTTTAACCATATGTTTACCAAAAAGAATTTAGAATATATTACAATATATCCATCCTATATTAAAAGTATATAATAATAAATAACTATAATATTAAAGAATAAATTAATAATAAAATTAATTTACTTACATTGAAATCTTTTTGACTTAGTTCTATTTTATTATTATGAATTTATTTTATAATTCAGTTTTGTATTTATATGACTTTATCAATTATTATTTTTTGTAATTTATATAATGTTCATATCTGTTTTTCCTGTTTAATTAATAAATTTTTACAATTTTTATATGATCAATCTTCATGTCTTAAATCATTAATTACAAGAATTCTAAAAGAAGTTATAGCAGAAATTTTTGCAGAATGATGAGAATCATAATCATCATTAATTATTATTGAAGTTTTAGAATGCGAATATATATTAACATTATTATCATTTAGTTGATTAGGAGTTTTAAAATATGGATATAAAATATTATCATCATCATTTATTATTACTGGAGTTTTAGAATGCAGATGTATATTATTGTTATCATCATTTAGTGAAACAGGAATTTTAGAACACAGATCTATATTATCATTATTATTATTATTAATTATTACTGGAATTTTAGAACGCAAATTTATATTACCATTATTATCATTTAATAAAACAAAAAACAAGAGTTTTAGAACGCAAATGTATATTATAGATAAAAAAATAGAATTATATGGATGTTTAAGGTTATGGTTAACTAATCAGTATACATATGTTTACTTAGAATCAATAGATATATCAGTTCATATAATACCATGATATAATTGTATAAATGAATATTTAGTTAACAAATATATTTTTAATTAATAATAATAATAAATTATTTTATTAATTATTAATATCTTAAATTATTACTAATTATATCAAAGATTATTATTGTTAAATTTCAATATCTTAAATTATTACTTATTATCTCAAAGATTATCAACATTAAATTTCAATATCTTAAATCATTGCTATATCTTAATGATTATTATCATTAAATTTTAATATCTAAAAAAAATCATCAATTAACTTGATAATTAATATCATTAAATTTTAATATTATGAAAAATCACCAATTATCTTAATGATTATTATTGTTAAATTTTTATATTGTTTAATTATATCATATCGAAGATAAGTTTGTTAATCATCTCAATTTGTTAATAATCAATGGTTTTTAATGTGATAATATGTGATAATTTGTGATAAAGTAATAATTATCGATGTTTATCACTCTAAAAATTTTGCTGATGTTTACTATTACTTTAATTACCAAAAAGTATTAGTAGCAATAAAAAAAAAGATTCCTATTATATGTCAGCTATATCAATGATATTTACTGATCCTAATAGTTTTAATTATGATTTATATTAATAGAGAAAATCAAATGTTACAGTTATAAAATCTAAAGGTAAAGAAAATATCTCTTCAAGAATTGCTAACTTAAAAGATTGAACATATGTAATATAAGGTTATTGAAGTCAAAAAATTATTTTTAATTTATTTGAACTTAAATAATTATTTAATTATTTTTTTTTTGTTTTTTATATTTAGATTTTTGAGGTCAAATAATTTTTAATTATTGAAATATTATAACAATAAATGTTTGTAACAATATATTATCTTTATTATAAATTTATTTTTTTTAATTTAGTTTTTCTTTAATATAGTAATTATTAATATTGTCAGATCTGATTTATTATTTTAGTTAAATGATTACAAAATAATGAATTTGTAAATTTTTCTTTCAGGTACCGTATTCTTCTAAAAATAAGTAATGCATGACAAATATTTATTAATTAGTGTCCATATGATGAATTATATAATAAAAGCATGTGACTAATGCAAATTTTTTTGACTAAACGTTATCTTAGTAATTAAATAAATGTATTCGATATAATTAAAGAAATATTATATTTATTACTGCAGTTAAATCTAGAATATTTAACTAATTTTGCATAAATGCTAAAATTTTAAAATAATATTTCTTTTATTATATCGAACACATTTACTTAATTACTAAAATAACCATTAAGCTAAAAAATTTGCAGTTTAATTATAGCCAAAATTCTTCACAAATTATGCATTTTTTTTAATTAAATGTTTAGAATTTAAAATTTAATAAAAGCTCAATTGTCACGAAATTTTCAAGATATATACTATTTAATACAATGCATAAGTTTACTTAGAACATCGAAGTCGATTTTATTAATAAAAAAAATTTTTTTTTTATTAGTTGAAAATTTCAATTATTATTTCGATTTTTGAGTTTCCGGTCATTTTTTTCATGGGAATCGGGATCTACATAAAAATGATTTGATGATCATAAGTGGTATAAATAGCACAATCTTTATCAACTACGCAACAATCTATCCATATCCGTGTCTTCATCCAAAACCTCCAACTTGTATCATAAATTGGAAAGCATATTCAAAACTTTACCTTTTCTTCATCACGATCATCTAGAAAGGTTTTAAATGAATACACTAAGGCAAGCTTTAGCACTTAAAATCTCGCTATTCTATTCTAGGATATAGATAAAGACAAATATGATTGCACAACTTAAAAATTTAAATCCAACAAATGTATATAATGCAAATGCATATATACAAGTTCTCCATTATGAACCATTACAGCAAGACATCACCACGTCCTGCAAAGACAATTCCTAGAGACAATTTGTTCAAAAATTAATCTAGTGCTGTCAATTGAATACGATTCTTCCTAGCTGTTGATAACAGATCCCTTATTGAAAGAGTAAGTTGATAGGGAGGAATTTGAATTAACGAATATTCCTCTTTGAGTCGTTGTACGAACATTTCATCGATTTGAAAATACGGTGGTGGTTATTCGATAGATGGGATGATATCGGCGAGTACCATGGGGCAGGGAGAATGAATGGTGGCGGGTCGAGGATTGAAGTCGTAGAATTGGTGACCGCAGAAATGTCGGTGTTGATATTTGGCAATTTGTCAGATTTGGAAAAGATTGAATCCAAATATCATTAATAAGCTCCAATATTTGATTGTAATTTAGCAACATTAGGCAAAGATATTCAGGTTACTTTAGTAAAGATCTAAAGGATATGATGATGTTTATTCTGAAGAGCAAAATATCTAAAATCTATTGTGGTCGACGTAATGCACAGGTGGGTGTATATATATGTATGAGATAATTAGTATCAAAAATGAATTTTCTAAATTATGTCAAGTTGACGAATGGGTATTGTTGGGGAGAAATGTCTCTGCAGCGCAAGCGGCGTAAAATGTGAGAGTATCTGTTCCTTTTTCAAAATTCTGGCATTATTTTTATCGTTATGTGCGATCATATTTTCCGAGGTGTCATACACATTTGTGTCAATTGCACTTTACTTGGGGGGAAACGAATAATAAAACAAATTTATTAATGATTTATAATAATAATGAAAGAAAAGCTAATAAATTATTTGCAACTTATTACCATTTGATAACTCTATAACTTGGAATTTCATTTTCTTATTTGTTTAATAAATCTATGCTTTTTATGCTTGCCAGCTGTAGTTCCCGATTCTTCAATAGAACTCACAAATATGACAGTTCATTTCCTTCTATAGGAGCAGAATAACTGACAGGAGTTTGTTCCTTTACTAACTACCTATCTCAACGAGTTAGTAGTTCTAAATCATCGATTTTTTTTTTTTTTTAAGAAAAAAAACAATGAAATTTGAAGGTCATAAAACCACACAATTCTTTATGTATAATTTATTTTTATTATGTCATATCATAACATTTACCCAAAAGCGCTACTTGATATATCTTCTATATGGATCTATATCTATCTATATTTGTTCCGCATCCTTCCCATGAAATTTACCTCTCTAATATAAAGTCTCAGCCAAACCACCAGCTATAACTAAATATTACCAATACCACATAAAAAAATTCTCTCTCTTATCTGTTGACAACGAGCAATTAACCATTCTGTATATTTTTTAAGCAACTATGCATGGTAAGAATGGAAGTGAAGAAGAAATAAATAAGAAACAATATCTGTATCTGGTTCCATACACGATTATGATGTGCAAGATGTTGAAAACGGTTACGGTCACGCTTGTTTAAATATCAGAAAGCATTTCGAAGTGAAGGTATCGGATTTCTAGCATTAATAGATAGCAATTGACATAATCATTATTAATTAGAATTAAATCAATAAATTTCAAGACCAATGAAAAAAAAAGTTACTACCAGGTGATGGATAGATTATTGTGTCTTCATTTTCAGCACGGAAATGCCAATATCTTAACTGACTGGAACATGTAATTTGAATTACGTGGAGTAACCGGAATTTTTGGTGCTTCAGAAGCTACCCAAGCGGCTGATGCCATTAAAATGACAGAGATCGATGACAAGGAATCAGATTCAGGACAATATGATATGGTAATGCTGACTCCCCCCATAATAAAATTTTTGCTTGAAGACCAGATGCGATGGTCCTAGTTTTTATAATTCTTGAGTACTAGTGTTATGATGGGGAGTATACAACCAACTCTTTCATAAGGTATACTATTAACATTATTCTCAATATGTTTTGACCTTTCTCCACCTATAAATTAGCAAGATAGAACCGCGACGATTATCATAACACGCAAATAATAATTCACGGTTAAATCTTCTTTACACACCTTAGATTATTGATGGTTGAGGTTGTTCAATTTATGTGTCTACATAAACTATTACGATAACATGTTGCTCTATTAATCCTGTGATTCAAGATAAAAAAAAATTCGAAACAATTTGTGTTCATAATGCTAATAAGAAATTGATGGCACCTAACGAATTGATGTTAGCTGCATGATAGGATCACCTGCGAGTCCTGAATTATATAATATGTAGGTTCAGTCCCAGAAACCAAAGGTGAATATTTCGAAATAATGACCAGATTGCCGTCCAAATGATTGGAATTATCATTCTCGAAATTCAGATTATTTGTGAAATCTTCAAACCTTCATTAATTTTTAACATGATGAATTTGGTAAGGATCATAGGCGCTAACGTTATGATTGAAATCGATTCGCCCATGATTAATTGAAAAATCATAAAAAAACTCACCATTGGAAAGGTTGATGGCTCATTGTGAACCAAAGCTGCTCCTAAAATAAGCGCGGTCAATAAATGGATGTTTATTAACGTTGGGCTTTTGCGCAAATTATTGTCGATTGAATATACTAACCAATCATAATATTAGCACCAGCTTTCTACGCTTGTCCAGTTGAGTAATTTCAACAATACATTTCAGTGATTTCATTCATGCCAAGCATTGATAAGCCTAAGCCCTCCAAAAACTCTAACTCGACCATATAATGAAAAGCATTTTCCAAACCTTAGCTTTTCTTTCATCACGATCATATTGATGAATTCCGTGAAACTTGATTAATTTAATATCTCGTTCAGACAATGCATCTGTTGAAGTATCTTCTAATCCTCTTGCAAATGACCCTTTTAATAACATTTGATTCTATAGATAATATATTCCAAAATAATTACATGATGAACATCAGGATTTCCAATATCATGAGCTTATGCATCTAAAAAAATTTCGACAAGGAAAAAATGTTTGGACACTTCTTTTAAATTCAGCATCATCCTTATGCAAAGCTATTTTGATAATGATCCGTGAATAAGTTCAGGAACCATTATAGAAATATCTATAACGATACGTGACACTAGTTTCAATGTATTTACAATTGATCAAATTTATTAAAATTCATCTTGCAAAACAATAACAATAAAAAAAAACGCACAAACCATGCTGTTCCTCGATATAACTAGACGCGACACGAGCTAGGCACCTATGCCCAGTGATGTCCATTTTTGATGTCCCAGAGATTTGTTGTCCCAGCTATATGTCCCAACCTGTCTCACACTATGTCCCTAATGTCCTATCTGTCCCATCTATGTCCCATGACAACACTGCCTATGCCTGTCTCTCATATTATCCTGGTAAAGTAACCACCAATACTTGCCAATGACGTTAAACGCACTAATACGGCTACAGATTCAGAATGCCAAAAGTTGATCCGATCAAGAACGATATAATCTTATTTTAATAAACCAAGTTTCGTAGTTTCAGCTCCAGATCCTATAGTGATAATAATTGAATCATCAAAGGATTCAATAATTTCGTATGATCCATTTGATATCTATTTGAATGTCTTAGTTGTAGTGAAAAAAATTAGAACTCTGTTTTCCATTGGTTGCTACGAAAACATTTTTTTCGATTTCCTGTTATGACAAGATAATTTTTTGTTTCTCTTAGATTTTTTGTTAGACGTAATAAGAATCAGTTGATGAGGAAACTCCAATATAAGATCTATTAAGAAGAAGATTACAATACTTTATTACCTTTTAAATATCATTCTACGAGTTATTTAACTATTAGTTCTGAAATAAAGAAATATGTGTCAATAACTATAAAAAACATGAACAATTTATTCCATTAATCACCTTCGGGATGTCAAAAGAATTGCCAGCACTTGCTTAAAGCTCAGCATAAATTTCGCAAGGAACATTACATTTTGCACAAACAAGTATTGTAAAGGTAAGATAATTTTTTTTATCTTAATTTTTAAACTTTTTTTTTTAATTTTGGTCTGACATTCAAATTACTAATCACGTGGGTGAACCTGCGTTCTCCAATATTATAATAATTTGTATTCTGTGCGCAGCACATACACCGCCCGGACAAAAGTATCCGGACACTTTCGGAATTTATAGTAAAATATAAAAAAAAGCATTATAACCACGATTAAAATTCTACTATTTATAAAGCTAATTGGCTAAAATTTTTAAATCTATTGCTATTACAAACAATGTGTATGGAATTTTAAACAAATTATTAATAAAAATTCATTCATGTCATAGGAAATTCAAACTAACTTCGAAAATCATATAAATTCGTAATATGTCACATGATATTCCGATTACAGAAGATTAAAAAAAGCCATTTTCATGATTTATTAATAAATTCCGAAGGTTGTCCGGATACTTTTGTCCGTGTATATTCAATTTGAATATAACTTTGCAACATTCCTTTTCAGTTCCTCTAAACTCAAATGGTATGAAGATAAAAAAATGTAAAATTGAAAACTTTTATTATAAAAATATATATAAATACATTTAATAAAGATTTTAAATAAAAAAAAAATTGATAAAAAAAAAACTAATTAAAATCAAATTTAAAAAATTTTTATTATTTAGATCGGCGCTACTTTCACGAACGGTAAAGAAGTAGGAAAAAAAAATATTTATTATACCTTATTATTTATTAGTCTATATGAAAAACATCCGTTTTTTGTAGTCTTATGACCTACCTAATTCAAGATAAGTATAACGCGAAAAGATGGAACGAATAATTGGTTAAAAGATTGTGGATTTGAACTATTGATTTCTCCTTTTTGAAAAGATATTTGTTGTAAAATCTGAAGGAGATTCCACGATTTCATGGTGCGCGCCAAATGTTATAATTTGTTATTCAGTTTAATAATCCTAAAATTTTTTTAAGAAATATATACGCCAAAAGATGGTGACTCGGAGAAAGATTTAGCACACAAAATATTTCATTGCGAACTTTTCATTTTTAAAATGTAGGAGATGGTGCGCAACTTGTGATCCTTTAATTACAATCATTCAGTTTAAATAAATATACGGCGAACATATATTTTTATAATAACGTTTAATAAATTTATTTGCAACAAAAGTTGGACAAAAAAAAAAAACCAGGTATATGTTAGGATTTGTAAAATAAAAATTTGATCAATTTGAATTTTGAGTTCGGAGTCCGGTTATGAGTAAAACTTTCATTTCATGTCAGTTTGTAATATACCCTTTTATAGCTAATACGAAGCCCCCTCCCTTATCAAACTTAAAAAAATATATATATAATTTCACATATACTCATGATCATGAATGAAAAAGTTTCCGTAAATACATAATTGGGGTGCTTGAATCAAATAACTATTTGAGAAAGAATATTACACTAATTACTAATTTAAATGACTCCGTAATTGTTTATCTCACAACATGCCAATAAGTATACTTTCAGCTTTAAATTATTTCGCGTTAAATCCTATGAAATTCATTTCCAAAAAATAATTAGCGAGTTGATTAATCAAATTATTAAACGGGTTCGATAAAAAAAGGTTAAAACTAGAACGGACCTTTAATATTTCTTTTTTTCATGGTACAATTCATGCATGAAAAGTTCTTATCCGTAGGCAAGTTTTGAGAATTTAAAATGCAAATTTGAGATCAT